AGAGAGAGAGAGAGAGAGAGAGAGAGAGAGAGAGAGAGAGAGAGAGAGAGAGAGAGAGAGAGAGAGAGAGAGAGAGAGAGATTGCTGAATGAGTGGTACAAGATCCATGAAACACACACTTAAGCCGACAAGCACTCAGACAGGCACGCAGACCAGCAAGCAAGCACACACACAGACGTAGAAAACTCAGCAGAAAGCGGGAATCTCAGCAAGGCATTCATTCTAGCGGCAAAACTCAGAAATCAGCTGTGTTCTCAGTCTGTGTTTGGGCAGGTCCTTACACTCCCCCCCCCTCAAGAGCGAGGTCCCTTCGAGCGAGTAACTCAATCTGAGTCCCTCACAAACATATCGTAGGCAAACATAGCGAAGAACTTCCATGTATACTCGGTAGCAGTGAGCTTTGTTGAGCTATTTGGAATGACATCGAAAACTATCTGTCGTTCGTATGCTTTGAGAACGCCAGGTGCGCTTCACAACAGCTCGTTGTTTGATATCCAGTAGAGAACATCTAACGGGTGGTACATGAAGTGAACCTAGTATAGTCTGTTACGCCCTTTTCCCGTATGATTCGTAATTCTATCTATCTTGTGACCGCCATTGATTCAACGAGGGATCATATTCTCACAATATTTGAAGGATTTAGCATCATGGTATGGAAACCGTGTAGGCGCGTGAAAGACCGGGTGTGTGTGAAGATGGGGAGGCATAGAAATCAACAATGAAGGACCAAAGTCATCCTCACCAACCACATCCAGAACTTCCCACGGACTGTAGTACAGAGGGAGAAGTTTACATGACCCCCCCTCTTCCTTTGAAAATTCAGACATCTTGACCCAGACATAGCTTCCTACTTCAAAAGTCGTTGGTCTGCGACTTTTGCGCTTCTTGCTAGCATGATGGATAACGGCATGCTGTCGCTTGGTCATTGCTGCAACGACAACTTTGAGCAAGTGGAAAAAAAAAGGAGCAAGCGATCATGCTTGGGGTTGTAGCCAGGCCTGCCAGGCGTCAAACGAGTCGGCTGTTTAGGGAACAAGTGAGAGAGAGGGTTGCGGAACTTTCATCCGAGATGCATCCTGTTCGGCATCATACTGGTGGAAGAGTGGATGGAGTTGTTGTACAACCCCTTCACCACATACAACTCTTTATCCCATGTTTCCTGATCGAGAATGATTAAAGCACGGAGAAGCTGTATAACTGTGTGGTTGTTGGGAAGTGAAGTTCTTCCAGTCAACACTTATCAAGCGGGGTCTCGATCACGCACAATGGTTTTCAGGGTCTCGTACTGCAAAATGTACATCTGATGGAATTCACGGATCATAAGGTTAGTTGGGGCATGAGGTGGGAAGGGAATCAGAATAAAAAATTTGGAGAAATGGTCAACAATCACCATCACTTGCAAATATCCATTCTTACTCAACTTACCCATGTCCATGAAATTGATAGAGACGAACTCTCCGGGGCCATCGGGAATGGGAAGGGGTTTCAGCAGCCCCATGCGATTTTACCTGGATGGTTTGATTTGTTGCCACACTTGACACTCAACCACAAACTTGTGAGATGATGCTTTCATACCAGGCGAATTAAGCTGTTGTAGCAGATTTCCGTACATCTTCGTAAAACAGGAGTGTTCACTCCGGCGATGAGGGAAGTCCAAGAAGTGAGGTTGGAGAGGCTCATGGTTGGAACAATCATTTTTTCGTAAAGTTGGTAAATGAAACCCTCACATTCATGAAAATCAGGATGACTGTTGGGGTCAACCTTAAGCTGCTCAAGGATTGGACTGAGATCCGGATCCTTGGCAGATTGCTCTACCAATTCCTCCTAGAATTTTTTTCGGAGGTCATACGAGCTTACAAGGCAAGTCATATACTCTGGGTGGTGAGACTGCATCAACAACTCGATTGTAACAACCCTTTTTGTGTCTCAATTGAAAATCAAAGATATCAATCCCGTGCAACCGGGTTTGTGTAGTGGATAAGGTAGTTTGCTCCTTGATCCACTTCCAAGTCTCATGATCTGAGAAGACTTTGAAGTGGCATTCCAAAAGATAGTGCCTCCAATGGTCTAGTGCCTCATGCAAAGCATAAAGTTCGTGCATATAAAATATCTTTTCTTTGGACATGCGTTTGCTGTCGTATTCGAGTGGACGCAAGCTATCACCATCATTTTGTTGCAACATTGCGCCAATCCCGTATTGACTCACATCCGTAGTGACTACGAATGTGAGTTTGGGATCTGCAATGCAGAGCGTAGGATGGCTCACCCAAGCCTGTTTCAAGGCTTGAGAGGAAGTCTCACATACCTCGTCCCATGCAAAGGACACATTTTTACTGGTTAGTCTAGACAATGGGCGGGCATTCAAGAGTCACTGTAGACAAAATTCCAACATGAACACCCTCACGCTTCCTTCCGTCTGGCCGAAGGACCCCTGAACAACATTGATTGCTCCAGCAGTGTGGAGGATTGACTGTCAGTGCAATGAACCCAGATCGTGAAGACAGTCGTCAACAATGCAAGGCCAGATGAATGTCAACCAGGTGATGATTACCAATAGTCAAAATCGTATCCAGACAGAAGAGATGAGATAATCATACACAGACGAAGGAGAGAGGAGGGAGATTAGACAAAGGAGAGGAATAAACAAGGTCCACTCCTGCTTCGGGCTCCCTTCTCGATCACCACCCCAAATAATCAATAGTCTGAATGCATATTCGAAGTCCTACTACAGTGTGCCACGTGGCACGTCTAATCAGTCTCTCATCAGCGCTGGAGCAATGTTGACATGAAGACAACCAAGTAAGTATCCACGACCTTTCCACAGTCCTGATCTCCTCCTAAAGTGACGATGAAACAGAACAGCAGTGCCGATCACGTAGTCCCAGCCATAGAACACGTGGCAGCAACCACGTCAGCCAATGATACACGTGGCAGCAGCCACATCAGCGACAGTGCATGGCAGCTGCCACGTCAGCATGCCAAGAAGACAGGTGCAAGCCAACCACCATGCCGGACCAGCAGCGCCTCGCCGAATCACAATGCCAGCGCCGCAGCGTTGAGCCAGCGTCGTAGAGTTGAGCCAGCGTTGAAGTCAACGCGTGAAGTCAGCATCAACGCGTGAAGTCAGCATCAACGCAAGACAGAATGAATATCAAAGCTAGGGAGGTCAACGCTTAAGTAGTGTTGACTCGGGCTCTGGACCTTGGGTGCTGCAACCTTTAGCCGTCCAGATCTTGATGCAACGAAGGCCCAGATTGGCCGGAAACTGAATTCCCTTCGGCCTGGATGCTTGTCTGGGTACCTGCGCACAACAAGTGAGTGTATCCAACCAAGGGCCTGGGCGCGGTACCTTTGACTCTACAGTTGACTTTGACCCTTGACTTTCCTGGGTGCAGCGTTTGGTCACACAGCCAAACGCGACAGACTCAGGCCTGGGCGTGTCTTGGTCACACAACCCAGCGCAGACCAACTTTGGTCTGCGTTGCCTGGGGCTGAGTTCTGGGCCCCAGACTACTTCTGAACAGGGTTACTGCAGTCAGCTTGCCTTTCATCTACCTTCCCTCTCAGGTCCAACTGTCTGAACCTTGTCATATTTATTGTGACAAACAAGACAGAGATAAACGATGAGGAAACCACACTCTCAGAACTTGCAGATTCAACGCCTTTTGTCATGGTTTTCAACTTTTCACGCAGCCTGTAATGGAGCTTGCTGGAGTCTCTGTCTTCTCAAGCCGGCTTCTGAATTGTGCCGGGCTTTCCATTGTATACGGGAGCACCTTATGTCTGCTACCTTGCTGCCTGCCAGCCAGTCCTTTGTGAATTTTTCAAATTTTCCATGCCTCTCTGCTGCTGTTCCACGTCGTCCGTCATGTCGAGTCTTGTCTTCTGACTCCTAGCTACAAGAGTTTTCTCTTTGGACTGATGGTTAAATGACGACTGCTTATGAGCTCATTTTCTTTTGCGAGCTAAAAAGTATGTTGTAACTTCTAACTGCAATACTAACCAACGTTCACTGAGGGTCAAAGTAGCGCCTTACCATTGGCAATTTTTGGATGAAGAAAAAGAAAGGAAATGTGATTCTTTTGTTGTGGGTGCTTCTTTTGGTGCAAGTGAGACCAGGGCATGTCAGCTTCAAAAGCTGTTCCAGTCCTGGTCCAGTTCTGGTCCGGCCTTGATCCAGTCCTGGTTCGACCGTGGTCAGTCCCTGGTCCGGTGGGGTTGGGTGTCCTGGTCTGGTTTTACCGTGGTATGCAGACTGTCAGCGCTGTAACAGGAAGGAGCTCAGAGTAAGGCCATTTTGGCAATTTGGAAGGGGCCTTTTTGCAATAATGACATTCACAGCCTCAAATCACCATCTCATGTATTATTCCTTCTTTTACCTTTTTTTTTTTTTTTTTTTTTTTTTGGCCTCTCACTCTCTCAGGTATTTCTTCTTGAGTTGACCGTGTTATTCGATGTAACATGTGACAGGTACGACCATGGGCAGCTGCACCCAGCAGCACTTGAGCAGAGGCAGAGGTTTTGACTTCATGACTCAGTCAACAGCGTTGGTGTCAAGCCTGCTCAACCCCTTTATGAGAACGCAGGGTTGTGATGCTGCAAGCCTGAGCCCTCCTGAGGGAAGCATGCAAGCTGCAGAATCAGACTCGGAAAGTAGTGGAAGGGATGATCATGGCGCAACAGGTGGAGCCTTCGGGAGGACTCGGTCTGCGAGGCGCAGATGTGACTCTGGCATGGAAGCTGTCCCCAAAGCAGTGGTTGATGTCTGGGACATGCTTGCTCGTGAAGGCCTGCATGCCGATCTTCTGATTCAAACAGATGACAATGGAGGAGTGATTGCCGTTCACCGAGCAGTGCTGGTAAGTCTGAGCTCAGGGGTTTGCCTGCTGAATGATCTTGTCCACTACTGGTAGTAATCTTAATCTCAGAAGACAGAAACCCCCGTGCCCAGCTCAGTGGGTACACCTGGTCCAATGAGGTGTTGAAACACAGGCCTGAGTTCGAATCCGGATGAAACTAGATTAATGAAATTCCTGAATGGCCTGTGGCCGCTCGATTTCACAATGCTATCTCTCAAGGCTGTCGAACTCAGAAACAATCGTGAGAAAAGTTCAGAAAACTACCGTCTTCACTCGAATAGAAAGCCTGGTCGTTCATGTCTGGGCTGTTTTGGGTTATGAACAAAGAATGGGTGATAACTACAGGACGGAGGAATCGAACGAGGCACAACAGACTAGATGACCATCGACCTCCCACGCCCTACTGGCCGGCTCTGCTTCGTTCATGGAGGAAAATAATGCCAAACAAAATAAACAAACCTAGATCTAAAGACGAAGTACTAAGGCAACCTTTATTTGGTAACGAATGGTTAACAAACGAAGCTGACAACCCACTCTTTCTCGAACAGAGGTGGATGTCATGGATCAAGAACGGTATTTGGAAAATAGACCATTTGTGGAATGAGGACAGAAAAGACTGGATAACGGAGCAAGAAATCACAGCCCGATTGAAAGGATGTTATAGACGAGGGACCAATCTCCACTGCATTCCACAGTTATGGAAAGACATCCTGGTTAAAGATGAATCATGGCAACCGGGCGAGCGGGGCCTCATGATTCAAGATACAGCGCTTACCAGGGCTTATCAATTCTCCCACACACAGCAAGGTCCGCACAATAGGGCCACTTTCCTCTCTTTCCCAATCTCCCTCACCAACTCAGACATGCCTGCGATCATAAACTGTGATATGGAATCGTCGGTGTTAGACCCCTTCCTCCTTAGGAAAATAAGAGTTCTAGGTAATTGGCCAAAATCAATATTCAGACCAGATACGGCAATTAGGGATCTGGAATTCGACCCGGCCGAATGGGCCTGGACACCAAGCTCCACCAGCATCTTCAAGACGAAAATCCCAATCCAAGATTACACAGTCAAACTAGGTTACAGATTGTCTTTAAAAACCAAAAACCCTGATCCGATTATAAAAGATAGATGGCGGACCCTCGTGGGTCAGGAAGCAGATAAAATCACAAAAATTCATTGGGATAAATTCAAACGTATTAGACCAGTCAAGATTAGGAGCCTGCAATGGTTGATTGTCGACGCTGCCCTACCGGTGAATCAATGGTTACACACTMRACGGAAAACCACAGACCCTAACAGTTCTGAGATTTGCACAATCTGTACTGAAGGTATGGTAGAAGATGTRGTTCACTGCCTAATGCTCTGCAAAGAGGCGACCGAATATTGGGCCAGAGCTTCAGCACTCTGGAGCTCCCTCTTCACATCTCCTTTTCCCGAACAACCGATCCAACTACTCCTCCTGACTAAYATCCCCGATCAAGTTCGAAAGGCAGAGAGGATCTGGTTTGAACTCATCAGGAAAGTGACCATCTGGGTCATATGGAAGGAGAGATGCAGCAGAACAATCGAAGGGCAGGCCAATCCAAGAGAGAAGGTATGGGCAGAAACCAGAATATTGATTCAAGCTGAGATTCTCTGCAGATGGCGGAAAGTCAAACAATCCTGGACTGAAGACGAAGAACAGAGGAAGGAGGCGAGGCGGAGATTCTATGAGAATTGGCTGGTAAATGGCAAGATTGCAGAACTGCGTGAAGACCGGATATGCTGGAAAGACTGGCACAATTCAGCTTCGGAAAGGGGCATCCAACAATGGACAACTCTCGAGGGGGCAATTGCTTCTTAAGGCGACAAGGGTTTAAATACAGCTCTCTAAAAGCCAAATGACAAGGTTCAAGAAACCACGAGAGGAGGAAGAAAACGAGCTGAAAAGAAGTTAATTCCGGAGCAAATACGGGGCATACAAAAGGAAATCGGACCAATATGGTCTAGAAGGAAGTGTCTCCCTGCCAATCTCATAATGGCCCATCGAAGGACAGCATTGAAGGACTGAGGGTTTAGGGTTTACGAAGAAATGTTAGTTTATTCAAAGGGACTGGAAGACTAATTGAGAAGGAAACAGATCGGTAAGGTTTGATGGAGGGACTCTTTCTAGGATTACTGAGGATATCTGACAGATCTGGATACCAGGTCTGAGAGGAGAGAGATGGATAAGGCAAGCTGACAGTCAATCCTCCACTGTCGTGGAGCAATCAATGCTGTTCAGGGGTCCTTCGGCCGGACGGAAGGAAGCGTGAGTGAGTTCTCTTGATGTAATACCCTTTTGACTTGCCGGTGGAATAGGAACTGGACTGACGCTCCCCAGAATAGAATGGAGCCAGGCCCATAAAGAAAGCTGTTTTTGGTGCAATTTTCAATCCAGATACGGTAGAAATGACCGGGTGTTCTATTCGGGTGAAAACGGTAGCACTGAAACTGGGTTTTAGTTAAGGACTAAAGTCAAACGCTTTTATCATTCTCGAAAAGTTGAGCATTTTGGAATTTGGAGCATATTTCAACGTTAAAGCTGCACATGACCGAGGGCATCAGTTACGGAACTTAAAATTTATGTTATGAAGTTGTCTGTCAAGAATCCCGTAAAAGTTATGCCACCCATCATCGAGCTTCCACGGAATCGATGTTATGCAAACAACTGTCACGGATGCCATAAAGGTTTTGAATATTAGAGATGCTATGCTTTAACAGAGGCCTGATTTCTGGAGAAAGCCGTAATGATTTGCTCTGTTTTGCTTGGACTGTTGAAAAATAAAATCCCTCTGTTCTCGGTGCAGGGTTCCGGAAGGGCCCAGAAGATCTTTCTCAAGCATTAATCTTTTTTCATGACTACTGTCCCCTGTTTGTCAGCCACAGGACCCACTGCCCCCTGGTCTGGTCCGAACTACCATGATGTGAATCCATTTCTTTCAAGCAGATGTTTATCCGCGTTGAGTTTCATGATTTTCATCTCCTTTATTCTAAGTTCGTTTCTGTCGCGATTGACAGTTCGTCGTGTCAATCCAACACCCACCTGCTTCTGCTTCCGTTGCCAATCCGCTGGAGATGAGCCTTGGCGTGTGCAGTGTCCACTGTCCAGATCAGGGTCCGATGGCATCGCCCTGAGAATCTAATGTTGAAATATTATCTTCTTACTAAATTCTTAGGCTTTGCCAAGGGGCATATTTCCAAACAAGCAAGTGCTTTTTTTTTTGGATGACTGTGAATGAAACTATGCCCCAGGTACTTCCAGCAAAGTCGTCGTGTGATCATCCCGTTGTTTACTCAAGTTTGGCACAGACATGTTGTTCATTACACTTCGTCCTCCTGCTGCTTCTTCTTGCTGCTGCGTCTTCCTGCTTCTTCTTCCTCCTCCTTCCTTCTTCACCCTTATTCCTTCTTCTTCCCCGCAGCAAAATGGACACGACTTATTTTTGTTTACCCAAGGAAGTGTTGTGTTGGGTTGGAGGCGCACAAACTGACAAACTCATGGTGGGGACCACCACCAGCCTTGAAAAAGGGGCACGGCGGAGGACCAACCCTTGGTCAACCCCCAACCCTGTCTATGAGACCCAGCTGAATGGTTCATGGAAGTGAGGTGCAGGTTGGAATCGGACCTAGATGCGTTAGGGCAAGATAGTAAGAGTCACCTTTCTGATGGTGGGGACCACCACCATTCAATAAGAGTGCACGAACCAGGGCTTGAAGACAATGAAGAGTGTGAGCCTGGCCATGAAGTGGGTACAACCCCTGAAACACAATCTGTATTCTGCATTGCGCCCAATCTTGTCCACTGGGTTGGGAGGACCCACCTTCTCCATCTACTCCGCTCCTTCCTAGATCGACTCACCTCATGAGGAATGAATTGTGGCTGACATTGTTCATGAGACATTCCAAAATGGCGTACCTCATAACATGAACAAGTGCGAAAGAATTGTACCTTGAAGCAATGGGGGACAACGACTTGTTGATGATAGCTCATCCTGTTTGCAACAGCTGAAATGCTGTTTGCGTTTTTTTTGTATCGCACATTGTGTCCTCCACGAGAGTAAAGTCTCACATAAAGTGCAAACGTTTTCTACATGAAGTGTGCTGAAGTAATCTTGTTTGGATTTTTTTAACGCGCCGGTGTCGTAACAACCACTTGTCCCCCAAACTCTTCGGTTTGGTACTTTGATTTTCAGGTCGCAAACTCTTCTGTCCTTAAATCCCTTCTTCAAAGACTTGGTGCAGGCAGCAACAAGACCCCGAAGATTGCTCTGAAAGGAGCCCCGTCATCTGCCATAAAGGCATTCATAAGGTTTCTTTATTGTGGAAGGTACATTGTCATTAATCAGCACTTCCAGATCGTTTGATCCGACTTCCATTGAAATTCAATCCCATTCAATGTGTGTCCCTTAAAATGCTTGTGTTTAGTTGCTGCAGTGATACCTCTCAGCCAAAAAGGCATTCTGTTACGGGAAGCATCACAGAGCATCCAAATTGTCTTTTTTTTTATTTTAATAATCGGCACTGTGTATGTCCAGCGGGAAAAGGAAAATGGCCCTGATCAGTGAAGGGTCCACCCTTGGGAGATGGTTCCGATCTATTTGTGGGGAACAGCACGTGCTGGTAAATGGGCCCAGCGTCCCATGGCTGACATTGAACAGGCCCCAGGAAAAAAAACAGAACAGCGTTGATTCTGCGGGACCCGGGAGTGATCTGAAGTATCGACTGTCTGTGTTTTTTGGGCTGGACAGAGGAAGAAGGCAAAGCGCCTGGCTCGAGCTTTTCGTCATTCCCTGACTGCTACCGTCTTCACCCGAATAGAATGCCCGGTTATTTTAGCTGTATCTGGACTGAAAAGTGCACCAAATACGGCTATAAGGACTGGGTGTTCTATTCGGGTGAAGACGGTAGTATGAAACTCCTCTCTCTCACCCCAAACCAAGATAGCTTGACAAAACAATTTCCTGCTGGGGAGAAAGGCTCAGCCAATTCTCTGGCCACTCTCATCGGGAAGGCATGGACAACAATTTCCTGCTGGGGAGAAAAGCTCAGCCAATTCTCTGGCCGCTCTCATCGGGAAGGCATGGACAATGTTACACCCGTCTACATATGAGAGGTCGTGGGTTGTCTTTAACTTTTGCTTCTCTTTCCCTAGGTCCACTTATGAGCTCTATATTGTCCATCGTACTTGGCTATCTATCACGATCAGAGTTTCAATACACTGTTATCTTTTAAGGGTGATCCGCGTCTGGGCTGGGCCTGGATGCACCTGGAGGCGAAGTCTGCTGAGCCCTTGATGAAGGTTTGGATGTTGCACATCTGAGGGTCAGTTTAACCCCAAAGTGGTACCCTACAGGGCAATCTCTTTATTCGACATATTTACACCGGGCTATCCTTGATGTGTGTGACTGCCAAGACAAACGAAGTTTGCTCAGGAAGTCCTACTCGTGTAACTATTGCCCTCATTTACCAAATGCAATAAATACACTAAGCCCTAAACACCTCTATCCGATCTCACACTGTTCTGTTGACTTTGGGGCTCTAGAAACTGCTTTTAGTTGACATCATCCTGGCTGAGGCTGAGTTGACAGTGTGGCACAGGGCTAGGAGCCTCACAGACCTTCACTTAGATTTTTCCGGCGTTCTTGTGTGTTACTCTGTGGTTTATATTCGGTGGGTGTGACACTGTGACAAGACTGGCATGCCCCAGTACACGATCTCACTCTTTTCTGTCGACTCTTGGGCTCCAGAAACTGCTTTTATTCATTCGGCCTCATCCTGGCGGAGGCTGAGTCGACAGTGTGGCAAGGGGCTAGGAGCCTCAGACCCTTTCGCTTGGATTTGATCACGTTGTGTTTTCCTGTGTGTGTGTGTGTGTGTGTGTGTGCGTGTGCGTGTGCGTGTGTGTGTGTGTGTGTGTGTGTGTGTGTGTGTGTTCGATTGTGGCCCGATGGACCACAGATCATATATTAAATTGATCAGAACAGAATCAACAGATACTACACTTGATTTTACTTAGCCAAAATGTGACAGGTATTACAAGGCTGACATGCCCCCGTCAGTATACGGGCTCAAAATGTGACAGGTATTACAAGGCTGACATGCCCCAGTCAGTATACGGGCTAACTGTTTTCTGTTGACTTTGGGACTCCAGAAACTGCTCTTAGTGGACCTTCTCCTGACTGAGGCTGAGTCGACGGTGTGGCAAGGGGCTTGGAGCCTCAGATGCTTTCGCTTGGATATGCTCATGTTGTGTTTTCTTCTGTGGTTTATATTTGGCAGGTATGACAAGGCTGATATGCCCCAGTATGTGATCCACCTTCTCTCTCTTGCTTACAAGTACAAGGTAACACATCTTAAGAAGGTTTGCATTCAGGAACTGGAGAGTGGACTTCTGAGCACGGAAAATGTGATAGATGTGCTTTTATGCTCTCAGCTATTTCAGATGCGCAATCTCTACCGTCGATGTGAGGAGTTTGTTCTCAGTCACTTTTCAGAGATTGAAAAATCGGATGGCTGGAAGGTGCTGATGGAAACTGACAGAGAGCTGGCCCAAGAGCTCCGGTGTAAGCACATAGAGCGATTAATGGCGCGGTCATGTGGGGCAGAGCATTGCCAAAGCAAACAATCGGGAGACTGGCATGGCCTAAAGAATTTAGAAACCGACAGGACCACTGTTCAGAGACCAGGTGATGGAGCAGGAGGTGCCTTCGTTGATCACCCTCAGATCCAGAATGTGATGACAGATGATCAGGTACGAAGGCTGTTTCCACTGGCTCGCTAATTGGCAGTGTAGTTCAGGTGGCTTGGTGTTCTTTTTTTTTTTTTTCAAATTTTTAATTACCCCTATTTCTTCTTCTTCTTCTTCTTCTTTTTTAAATGAAAAAAATAGAGCTGTCTTCTCCTCATCGGGGGACAAGCTGTATTTTACTACCCTATTTTCTTCGCTCAATACTGTGGCCTTTTTTTTTTTTTTTTTTTTTTTTTTCAGGAGGGGTTCCACACCCCTTTCAATCGTACTCCAGAGGACCTCCCCTTTCAGCAAGCACAATGATTTCGAGAGACCGCTCGCTGTCGGCCTCTGTGAGCCTCGACCAAGCCTCCGTCATGCCCAGCTGGATGTAAGGGACGCTGGGCCCGTTTCCTGGCTTGTAAATAAATAAAACACATTTTTGGAAGGAAAAAAAAAGAAGGCGGCCTCTGATATTCGGGAATACATCCCATCCGGATCGCGACTTGTCACAGCAGCGCTTGAGGAAAGACAAAGTGGTCCGTGAAGATTTGTTCCCTGATAGAAATTCCTGTCAACACCAATTCGCCATGAGCATCACAACCCAGAAACATTGACAGCGAACGAAAGAACCGACCAAAAAACAGAGGAAAATAATCTCTCTCTCTCTCTCTCTCTCTCACACACACACACACACACACACACACACACACACACACACACACCCACCCACCCACCCACCCNCACACACACACACACACACACACACACACACACACACACACACCCACCCACCCACCCACCCACACACACACACCAGAGTTGAGCATTTCTTTTTTGAAATGGCACCTCACCCAACCTGCCCACATTTTTTTAACTACAGGCCGCCCTCAATAATAAATAAATAAATAAATCTCATGGTGACCCAACCCACCCAAGTGTTTTTTTGAATTTTTCCTCCCACACCCAACCTGCCCATCACCCGTAAAAAAACCTTCACCCTGACCCACCCAGACCCGAGAGAACAAAATTACCCGCCCGCACCCGGTACCTAATTATTTTCAACCTTCACCCGCCCGTTCCCCATTGTCTCAGTTCCTTCGAACATTTACAAGCACCACGGCAACATCCTCGGATGACGGTGCGAAAATTCAAAGCATGTCCACTTTCAGCTGCCTTTGGATGACAGCGCAAAAATTTAAAGCGCTCCACAAGTTTGAATTGGGAAGCGAACCTTGCCAATTGCTGTGGTTAGGTTCGATCCCCGTTGTTTTAATGGGAGCGAACATCCTGTTGTTTGGGCCGTAGTCCAGCTGCCACCGGTAGAGAGTGACACATTTTTTCAAGGAGGATCCCAACGTTCGATTTGCAATTGGCGCAACTCTTTCTTTTTCGAGGCTGACAACTTTTTTTTCCAGGGGGCCAGGGTGGAGACTTTCGGTTTCCTGGGCCTCCAACTTTTGAAGTCCACAGGTGGACCGCAGCTGGGAAATATGTATGCTGGGGGTGGGGCCGGGGGGACGGTTCTTATGGGTGTCCTGGGTCTGTGGGTCTGGGTGACCCAGGCCTAGTGCTCACCCGCGGGTCACCCACCCATTAGGGTGTCCCAAGCCTTACATGGACCCGCCGGTCACCCACCCAGGCTGGCTCACCAAGCTCCACCCTCATCCCACCCATGCCAGCTTATGACCCAATGCCTCATGGGTGGGGTGGGTGCGGGTGGGTTGTGGATCTGGGTACCCGTTGCTCATCTCTGACACACACACACACACACACACACACACACACACACACACACAAAACACATCAAATGCTTCTTATATCTGTGTGCATCACGCACCGTGATTAGAATTTCAATACCACAATACAACTCATCCACGACACTCTCTCTCTCTGTTTCTTCTTCTTCTGCTTTTTTTTTTTTTTTTTTTTTTTTAATTTAATACAGAACCCTTCGGTTCTGGCTCCTGCCATTCTGGGGAGCAACAGTCCGGTTCCTATTCCCCCGGCAAGTCAAAATATGAATACAGTAAAGACACACACATACTCCTCCCCATTATGGCTGAGAGGCCTGAGTGGACGGCATTGATTACTTCCCTGGGGAAGGATGCACCACACCTCACCCCTGCCTAAGCTAGCTAATATCCACTTCCTCCTGATCCTATGAGTCGCCTGGCTCCTAGCTCCTCTCAGCTAAGTGCTGTCGGATAAACCTGAACGCTAGAGCCGATGTCTGGAGCTGACATCTAAGGTTTTTGCAAAGGATTATTTCTATGCAGCTCTACCTGATCCTAACAAGACAACTCATGTGAACTTGTTCCTTCTTGACTTCTATGGGGTTTTTATTCTCTAACCTTCATCCCTCTCAGCTTTTAGGTTGCCAGGTACTCTATATCCTATCTGCACTGCTGTTTCTACCTTTGGCCTTCTCTTAAACCCTAAACCCTAGACTTTTCGGGTCATCTTTTTTTTTTTTTTTTTTCAGCCCCTTGAACCGTCCTTCCATTTATACCAATCCCAGTTCAACTGTCTGTGACTGGACTTGATCTATGGACATCAGGTTGTCTGTCTCCTCCTGTTGGTCCCTCTGTTGGGTCCCTGCAATTTTCCAGACTAACCTTGGCGTGTTGCCCTCTATGTCTCCTATCTTCCCTTCTCCGAGTTTCTCTTTTTTAAACTTGTCGACAAATTCTTGTTGCCTTGTAGGGTCTAATTTTATGAGCTTCGCCACTTTATTCCAATCTGTTTGGTATTCGTCCTGTAGTAGGTGAAGGAAGATCTGCCAAGCTTATGGCTCTGATATAGCTTGAGAAGTTATAGTTTCCTTGCACCTTCTTTTCCATATTATCCACAGAGTAAGAGGCCGAAGTCTCCGAAATAACGTCCTTTGCCACGCCGAGGTTAAGTTTGGCTCCTGCAGACCAGTTAGCCATGTGATGCTGTTACCTGGCAGGGTTGTTCCTGTTAGAGAATCCCACAAGGCTTTTGTTTTCTTCCGAATGTCGGTCGCCTTTGAACAGGACAGCAGGCAATGTAGTAGGTCCTCTGGGACTCCCTCATGACAGATAGCACATATGTCATATAGTGGGTGTCTATCCCCTTGTAGAAGATGAGCCATTGCATACTTCTGATGCGGGTGTTTCTGATTGCCAACGGAACTTGCCATGAGATTTGAGTCCTGGTCCCTAATCCTCCCGAAACATGCTTCTGCCATCTTGTAAGAAGTGTGTCGCTTGTGTTTACTGATCTCCTCCGAAGTTTGTATCCAACCTTGGTAGTGTAGTCTACGATACTCGTTCTGCGTTTTACCGTTGTTTGAGCAGAATGGGTTTTCCATGCCCATTCTGTTCGGTCGAATTCAAGGTCTTGCAACTCCTCCGTGGGGTTGAAGATTCTATACTTGTCGTCCTCAATCACTCTCACTTTCCTCACTGCTGACATCCTGGCCGTTACTTTAGCTACACTTGTTGTATTGACGACACTTATCATCTGACCCGGATGCTGTATGTTATGGATTGACCACAACGCCCATTGTCTTGCCGAAAGAGCCCCTGTCGGGATAGCTTCCCAACTTCCCGTCGCCCACTCCCCTGCTGTCCTTTTGGAAGGGGCCTGTAGAAGCTGCAACCATTCAGGGGGAATGTATTGAAGGAGATCCGTGAGATTATCTAGCAGATTATGACAACCCTTGAGCGTATCCCGCAGCTCCTGGCATGTTTTCCATCGGTTGTGCTGACTGTTCCAAATGTGACTGATTTTCCAGGCGCCCTTCTCCACCCACTTAATCCAGCATCCATCCTGGGTAGTTAGCGTCCAAGGCTTATCAACTTGGTTTTTAACTCATTGGTAACGATTGGTTGCAAAAAAGTGGTTGCCGTAACACTTCCTCCCTGTTTGTTGGATGTCACGTCTTAGCTGGGAAGATCTCTCTCCAAGATTTGATGAGGTACATCCAGTAATCCTCCTGCGAGACATGTTGCTGCTGGTGATGATGCTGGTGTTGTACTCCTCGGCGGGCGGACCATGATTTGGACATCAGCGAAAAGTATCCTCTCATATTATTTGGGGAAGAGGCCTTTGGGAGTTGTCTGATTTTGTAGAGTGCCAAAGGACTCCACGACAGTGTGTGGTTAGTGAGCAACTTTACTATACATTTAGTCTGCAAGGCTTTGGTCTATGCGACTGGGTCCAAAATTCCCAGTCCTCCTTGGCCCTTCGGTTGTGTGAGATACCCCCAAGCCACCTTAGGAATGAAGCTCTGGGTAGAAGGATTACCAGTCCACATATATGCTGCAGAACGTGCTTTGAGAGCATTTGCCATTCTCGTGTCCGGCGTCCAGATGATTGCTGCATACCATCGCATAGAGAAGATGGAGGCATTTAGAATCAGTGCCCTTCCAAATATTGAGGTGTATATATTGGTTCAGGTATCTAATTTGCGAATCATACGCGTTAACATCTCTGGAGCCATCGCTTGATCAGGTCCTGCATTTGTAAGATTGATGCCCAGGAACCTCAATGGAGTCTTAGCATCTTGCCATATGAACCCTTCGGGCGTGATGTCTTGAGATGGTTGCTCCATTTTCGATAGCCACCAGCCTGTAGTTTTCTGCCAATTGACATTCATCTCGGATGCCAGCTGGAAGGCTTGCATACTACGCGTGAGAGCTTGAAATGAAGCGCTGGAGGCTCTAATCAAGACGGTAAGATCGTCAACAAAAAGGAGAGTGGTAGGTAAGCATACGTGATGATAGGGATTAGTCGGTTCCGCAACTAGCCTCTCTATTGCCGGGTCCTTTCTCAAAAAGGATGCTATCGCCTCCATAGTGAAGAGAAAGAGGGGGGCTGCTAGAGGATCTCCTTGTCACACAAAACGACTCATTTTATATGGCGGAGAAAGGAAGCCGTTAAGTTGTACTTGCCCGTATGCATCATTGTACAACACCCTCACCCATTTTTGAAAATTCGGTATCTTCTCCATACATTGTTGTTGGAAGTTCCAGTTGACCTGATCATACGCCTTCTCAAAGTCAAAGAAGAGTATGGCTGCGTTAAGTTTCTTGTCTGTGATGTACCTCTCCGACTCTGTTAATGTCATGACGTTGTCGAGGATGAATCTTCCAGGGATAAATCCTGTTTGGTCAATGTGGAAACAACTCCGGGTAATATTCCTAAGTTTGTTGGCTAGTAGTTTCGCCAGTATCTTGCACACTACCGTAAGTAGTGTTATTGAGCGGTAATTCCTAATATCTATGGGGTCTCCTTTTTTGTATAATAGTGTAACAACCCTTGTACTTATGAACTTGCCTAGTCCTTCTTCTTGGTAGGCTAAGTTCAAAAATTCATATATTCTGTCTGAAAAATTGGCCAGAAAGTCTGCCAAAATTCCTTCGATAGTCCATCTCTTCTCGGGGTTTTGTTCGGTTGCATGGAGAGCAGCGCCGACTTGACCTCCTCTGATGTGATTGGTTTGTCCAGCTCTGCTGCTTGTTCCTGTGACAGAGTTTTATCCAGATGCCTCAAAAAAAATTGTCTTGCTTCTTGTACTTGAGTTGGAGGGTGGTGGTCCTCCCTAGAGGTGTAGAGTTCCTTGTAGAAGTCCGCTGCTATGGTTAGCATTTCGTGAGGCTCCGACGTAGTAGTATCTCCCTTCTTCAGCTGATCGATGAGCTTATTGCGCGCGTTTATTTTGATCTTTTGAAAAAAGTACTTAGTCATCCTTTCTCCTTGTTCGAGTTCCTTGACTCTGGCTCGTAGACGTAGTCCAACGCCTTTCTAGGCCTTCCACTTCGATAGTTGGAGTTTCGCTGCAAAGAATGCTTCTTCAAGATGTGTCTGTCCCGGTTAGGATACCAGATTCCTCTCCGCTATATGCAAGACTGCTTCCAACTCCTCCTTTGCCTTTCTCTGTGCTGCGATTATCCTTGAAGCTTTGGCTGAAGCGTTGGACAGGTTTCCCACCGTATGTGGGAATGTGTTGATCCTTGTTCCATAGGCCGAGCAGGGTTCAACGATGTGGTCCTTCATTTCTTTGGTTTCTAAGAGGGAGTTATTGACTTTAAAGTAGCCCGGGCCTCTTTTTGGGGCTGCGTCTAGAAGTAAATTTAGGTATATGAATTTGTGATCTAAGCCCGCAGCATATGGCAGTTGACTAATACCTGTTGCTTGGACTGCTCCGTGTAGTTGTTATGAGATAAGAAAGAAATCTTTCCTGGACGCCGAGATGTGCTGGCTACGACTACGTTTGAGATAATTGAAAGCTCTGGTTGAGGGTTGCCTCATACGATATGGGTCAATTAGTTGGTGCTCCGTCATGAGGTTGTGTATGGCTGCTGCTTCGTCCCAACCTGTTCCCTCCATTGCTGATGCTTCACCTGACATTCTATCTAGACCCTGATCTAATGTCGCATTCCAATCACCTCCCATAATCAGGTGAGACAGAGTGGTACAATGTGGGGAAATAGATCCTATGAGCTCAACTCTTTGTTGCTGAGAGCTAGGACAATACAAAGAAAGACGACGGAAGCGCTCTTGTTTGTAGTCAAAATCTACTTTGACCCATCTCACCTCTCTGTTATCTCTAAGAACCGAAACTATCTGCATCGTCTGGGATGCCCTCGATCTAGAATGAATAAGCACTGCAGTACCTGATGAACCTGACCTTGGGGACAAGGCCCAATAAGCTTGCTTAATCCATCTTAGTCTTCTAAGAATCTCCTGCTGGACTATTTGATGGTCTTGATTACTTGTCAGATGCGTCTCTTGCAGGCACAAGATATCTGGCGGGTTAGTACCATACCAGTCCAATGCTTGGGTGAAATTGTTTCACTTTCGCTCGTTGGGGAGAATAGACGCCATGCCATTGACATTCCATGATACTATCCGCAGGTCCGACGTTGGATTAAGCGTTCTGGGTGCCGGAGTCCCATCTAAGACGTCCATGGTTAGTCAGTGACTTGGATGTCTACCTCCTTTGCTCCCATTGTGTTGTTTCATTTGTGGACGAAGGTGACTTCCTTCTTCTGAGCCAGAGCGTTTATTTTTGTGTGCCAGCTGCCACCATTTGCCAGGAACAGTCTGTAGTTGGACACCAACGCAGCCGCAAAGGCCGCTCTCTCTGCTGCTTCTCCGTGGCCTAAGAGCCCGTAGGGGCTAGATTCGACTACCTGCCAGGGAACCCACTCCAAGTCGTCTGATAGGACGAGTTTCTCGTTTACCCGGACCATGACTGGACCGCAGATCTACTCTGTGTCGCTGTCTTGCCGGGTCCTTCCATTCTTCCATATTATCATGCTGTCCTCCTAGTGTGAACATTGGAGTGAGAGCATCTTGAAATTGGGGTGAGAGCGTGCCGTCCTGGATCGCCTGGCTGGTTATTGTAATGAGAGCCCCCGTCTTGTGGACTGCAATTTCCCAGTCCTTGTGGGCAATGTTCCACCTGCAAGGAATGAGGTTTTCGCAGATGTTCATTTTTCCTTGTGCCCACCTGTGCTACTGCTTCAACTGCGGTCATTTGACCGTCCGCTATATTCTGCAGAGACTGATGCTTGTTTGTGAATTCCTTGTTTTTCGTTGTGAGTAAGGCTACCTGGGCCTCAATTATGCGTTTCTTTCTTCTCAAGTCCGTCGACGTTCCCTCTTTTGTCAGCGGTGCTGTGTTCTGTTTGAGGCTGTCCTCCTTTTTTGTCTTCTCCTGCATCCTTTTCCCTTTTTTTGCCTTGGCAGGATGCAATGGCAGGACAGTACAGAATAAAACGGACAAGACCCAAAGGTGCACCGAAAGAAAGGATCCCCCCGAGGGAGACCAACATCTGTTGTAATGATGGGACCCTTCAGAGGCGAGCAGTAGAAACCCAAGACTTCATTGATAAGAAAAGACTACAGATCACTCAAGGAGAACGAGCAAGTGGCCGAAGAACCGAAAGTATATTATCAATGGTTGGCGAACGAGGGTTTAGGGTTTAGGGCCTAGGGTTTTAACGACATAAAGAAAAAGGGAGGGCAGATAAAAAAGGGACAGGGAGGGCGGTGACTCAGGAGCAGGATGGCTAAATGGACGTTCACACGTTAGCTTGATAAGGGGCAAACTTCTTCTAGAAAGAATAGAATTATTTGACAGATCTGGGTTCCAGGTCTGAGAGGAAGAGTGTTGCACGGCAAGCTGAAAGTCAATCCTCCGCCAAGGTGGAGCAATCAATGCTGCTCAGGGGTCCTTCGGCCAGAAGGAAGGAAGCGTGCGTGTTCCTTAATGTAATGCATGTTTTGACTTGCCGGTGGAATAGGAACCAGACTGACGCTCCCCAGAATAGAAGGAGCTAGGGCCATAAGGTCCTATTTTCTTTAAAAAAAAATAAAAAAATAAAAAAATAAGATGCTCGTCTCTGTCCACCTACGACATTGGCCACTGGAACTGTTTATCATATGCAGGATTGTCCAAATAAAGCATGTCCCCTTCCACTCTCGTTTTCAGACACACGTCCAGGCCCTGAATCCTCGTGTAGGGTCCTTTTTGCCCCCGTTTCGGCCTGGGCTGAGGGCGGCCGAGTTGGGCCTCAGTCTTTCCACGAGACATATGGCATGGGTTATTGCAAATAGTTTGGACTGGAATTAATGAAAGAAAAATGAGAAAATGCAAAAAAAGAAATTGAACTCTGAAAGCTAATTTGTTGTTTGTTATGTTTTTTTTTTTTTTTTTTTTTTTTGTTCCCATATTCAGTACTCTTTTTTTGCACATTTTTGTTTATCAAGGAGTCGGCTTGATAATGTGTGGTGCACCTCACAGCACACAGTGCAGCACACAGGTGTGAGGCAAGTATCTTTGTAGAATAATACGTGAATTTGTTGAATAAAAGTTATAAAACCCAATAAATACAAAAGTAACAAAACGGATATTTTAAACTTTTCAAGTTCCCAATTTCCCAGCAGTTCCTCTGACTGTCTCATGTATTTTGCAAGCGTTGAATATTTGTGGTGCGCTGCACCACTGTCTGTCGTTATGGTACAAGCATGATTCGAAAGTGGAACTCTAGTCTCTTGACTAGTTGATTGATGACTCGTGATGAGTTTTTTTTTTCTTCAATATTTGGCAGGGTCCCTGTGGACGCCTCTCTGAAGCAGGGAGGTGTTGCAGCCCCTTTGGCAAGGAAGGAATGGCCAGATCGGGACTGGTCGAGGCACAGTCCCAGATTGAGCCACATAGTAATACAGGAACGGTGGAAAACCATATAGCCGACGACAAGCGTGTCAACATGATGAGAGCTGCAGAAGTTTGCTCAGGGGGTGTGACATCGTGCAGGATAGTTGGGATGACTGGAAGTGAGATGGAGCAGGAAGCACCGAAAGATGTAGAAACAGTGGAAAGATCTGGGATGGAGAGGGACCAGAAAAAGGGCGATTCTGTACATGATATCCTTGCAGTGGGAGTTCGTTCATCTTGGGTAGAGGACGCAAGTCTTGCCACCTCAGATTCATTGCTCCCATGTGCACTCGAAAGAATGAAAGGATCAGGCACAGATGCGATGCAGGCACAAGAAATGTGCGCTCATGCAAGGGTGGAAGAGGGGTTGTGTACACAAGAGAGGCACGGTGTGTCGTCGGAAAAGGAGCGTGTCATGCAAATCCCGGTCGGGCTCATGACCTGTTCCAGAGAGCAGGTCATAGGTATTCCGGTAGCCATACACTGTCAGAAGGAAGCGCTGGCGACTGTCGCAATGGATGGAGGCTGTGGAAAGAGCATGGGCACAAGGATTGAATCACTCCCCGTTCATACAGGGATATCGACTTCCTCCTCACTGCCGTCCCTTCAAATTCCAAAGCTCATCCACTCAACAACGATGGTATGCAGTCTTCCCTATTCCCCCTTTTTTTTATTTGAACCCATTTCTGGATTTATGCATGTCATTCTAGCACAGGGCCCATGCTAATCTTCTCTGCATCATTCCGATTACAAGGGATGTAGCGAATGACAGTCTTCCATTGTTCTTTCTCCCAGGTTTCCTTCTTGGGTGGGAGGAAAAAAAAACATAAAGAATAGCCTGGTAAGAATTCACCTTTTGTCTGAGTCCATGTCTCTCTGATCGCATCTTGAACGGTTCAGCCACCTAAGAGAGAGTTGTTTAGTTTGAAAAAGCTTGAGCCTTTTGTCTGAGTCCATAACTCCTCGTAAGGTGCCTTGTTTTATTTATTTTTATCTTCCCTACTTTCTTCTCTCTTTTTACCTCCCTCTAGCTACTCATATCCATACCTTATATATACCTTACCTGCAGGCCCTGCCAAGCTAATGACGAATCACAGACACCATTGGCTTGGGCCTCCTGGCTGGTTGTGGAAGTAATCGGCCTGGTTACTGCTCCCCACACAGAGCAGAGATTGATAGGCATAGACCCATAACCTTAGGATAGCTTAGCTCTAGCTAATAAATTTAAGCTTCGTCCCTGCATCCATACTGAGGCCTGCTTTTTTAATATTTATTTGTTATTTTAATATTTTTTATATTTTACGCTTCGTCCCTGCTTCCATACTGAGCCCTGGTGTTTTATTTGTTATTTTTCATATTTTTTTCAAGAACCATGCTTCTTTCTGATGCTGGGGAGCTGCACCTACTGGGAACCAAGCCTAGCGTCCCTTCAATAAGCAATTAAAAGCTTGCAATTTTGCAAATGACCCTTTCTTGATAACCAGATGTGATTCAAAATATTCTGTTACTTCAATTGGTTTGTGATCAAGAACTGCGTAAGCTGCCGGATGGGGAATGTCAGGGCATACACACACTGCAACTTTTTCTACGAAGCTCTGACGCGATTACGGTCAGGTTTGTGCAGGTCTGGCTGTAATTGCTGTCAGATGCATTTCGGAAAGTGCTAGTGTGAGTATGCCCTCAGCTTCCTTGATACAAGTTCCTATAAGAAGCTTGGAGATGAGTCAATGTAAGAAAAAGCCATGTGCTGGGCATGATTCCGTTTGGACTAGCGAGAATTCTTTTCTGTTGGGGTGTGTTCTCCGGAACGTTTGTATTAACGCTTAGTCGGTCATACGTAAGCTGATTGGTAAAGATTCTTGCAGTGAATGAATGAATGTTACTGGAGTATGAAATGCGGTCAGTAGTTGGGTTTGAGGCTGGGCCAACCACAACTGTTGAAATGCAGACCTGTGATCGCATTCCAATGGAAACAGATGAGTCAATTTAACTCTGAATTTACCTGGGGCCGGTCAGTCCAAACTTCCAAAGATGATATGACAAGCCTCTTAACCTTTTTTTTTTTCTTGCTTTTTTTTTTTTTTTTTTTTTTTTGAAAAGGCTGCATTTCAGTTCCCACCTATAAGCTGACCAATAGTTTGGGTAAAGGTCAGTCTTCTACGGCTGGCTATTGGGCGTATAGATGCAGATTAGATGGAACTGCTCTTCTTTCCGTTCTAGGTCCATGTAGCACAATATACCTTCAGACTCTCCTCAGAGTTATCTGCTGAAGACCATATTCACACTAACACTTTTTCTACTAAGCTCTGGACATGATTGCGGTCACATTCATCCAGGTCTGGCCGTAGTTGCGGCCAGAATCTGTCAGATACATGCACGAACGTGCTAGTGTGAGTATGCCCTAAGACCGTGTTACCTCACCAGCTGTATAGAAACTATTTGGGGTGGGGGTGGCCATTCCCTCCCTTACGAATCTTTCGTTTGCCCAAACTTAATTGTCAATTGCTCCTAATTTCCTTTTTGACTAAAAGTGCTAGTATGAGCATGCCCTCAAATGGATACAATAAAGTCTGGGGCTATGGCATAAGACAACAACAAAAAAAAAAAACTGAACACAATCTATTGTATATGCAGTATTATGCACACAAATCTCAGAAACCCATAGACAAAGCTCATACGAACAGTGTTTTCTCGGTAAATTTTCAAGACTCTTCTGACTGGAATTTGCCGTTGCTGTACCAACCGCCCTAGCTCAGTTGGTACACTCATGAACTGGTGAAATACAGACAGTTCGAATCCCAATCAATTCAGAATTTCAGATTGAGTAAATAAATCTGAATTTACATGGGGCCAGTCAGTTTGATCTCTGACGATGATATCTTGAGGCCGTCACCCTTTTCAAAAAACAAATCAAAAAGAAGGAATCTGCTACGGTTGCAGTTGCTGTCATTGCGCCTATCAAACCTTTGTTCACGGTGCTTCATTGTTCTCTTTTCTGTTTTTCTTTTTTTTTCCTTTTTTTGGGTGAAACGGGTGTAGCCCCTAACTTTGCGATATCCAGCAATGGACCAACAGGATTTGAACTCTTAGCTGATCTAAGAACAGATACTTGTGTGTACCATTCATTAAATTCGAAAAGAGGTCAGTAGTCATTCATATCTTTTTAACCTCTCCTTTAATTCTCTTGAATTTTTCCAATAGTTCTCAGATTGATTCTCAGCCGAAGCCGGGTAATGGCCCTGGTATCTCAGATGACTTGTGTAACTCTATATGGGACGCTGGGCCCGGTTCCCAGCACATGCTGCTCCCCACGAATAGACTGGAGCATTTGTCCTAAAAAAAAAAGAAAAAAAGAAAAAAAAAGAAGCTACCAGCCAGGTTTCATTTGGTCACTTAGTCCCCTCGTCACCATGATCAGGCTTTCTGACATGCACGTTGGAATCGTTGTGGTTTTGCAGCCATCAAGGTGGTCACAGGAGGCGAAGCCCTCAGGGACGCTGGAGGCTTCTGTGCCACTATCCCCTCATTGCCAGTTATCTCCGCCCTTGCAGACTACGAGTCCTGTGAGAGCGGCAGAATTGGATTCAGAGTCTTTGTCACTATGCCACAGTTCCCTCAAGCACGCTCGTCGGTTTTCATCATCAATGCGAGTGTCGACGGGGAACCTCCTCTTTCCCTTGCCATCCACGAATCTGGGAACATCTAGATCATTCAATCACCGTTCTTCATTTCAGCATACTTCAGAATGTGGCTCGCCTACTTCGGACTCCCTCTTGCCCTGTGCCTTAGGATCCCCAGTAGGTTCTCCCCCACCAGTACCTCAACTGCTTAGGACAACAGAGTCCTGGCGTCGCCGAGCAAGATCATTTTCGGTTACAGCATGCTCAGCATTACCCCCTGTTCAACAACCACGGCATGCCCAGAATCTTGTCTCTCCGCGTCATGTTTGCAAAAGGGGTTGCTGTGCCATAAGAACTTGTGAAACAAGGGCTCCAGCTCCAGCAATGACTGCAGCTCGAGCTGAGAAAGCCTCTCTACAAGACGTCTCTGGAAGGGGAAACGAGCGAGGGAGAGCTCCCCCTCAGCCTTCGCCCAGGTTGCAGCGATCAGCATCCCATATAGTAACATCAAGCACATCTGTGAAGGAAACAGATTGTCACAAGCCCACCAAGAAGGGATCATCAGCATTGCCTCCTCTCCGATCTGCTTCTTTTGCAGCCTTGAGAGAATCTGCACGTGAAAGGCAGTGCCATGCTGGCTCGGCCACACTGGGAAATGGCAAGCTACCTCAGGACAGACGATCTTGTCCAGTTGCTGTCCCACCCTTACCTCGCCCACCATCTCATCCAGCTGTGGCTGCTAAAGGTGGAGGATTGACACGTAAGCAAAGTCAAACTCCCCAGAATGGTTATCTGCCAACAGTAACACCAAACAGTGTCAGAGGAAATTCAGGCCTTACAAATGCCCACCAGTTGGCAGAAATGGCAGGGCTAGAGGAGGACGAGTTGTGTATTGTCACGCATGAGGAGACAGGCAAAACGGAAAATGACATCCAAGCAGCAAGTGAGTTGAATAAGCATGATGAGAGGGAGGAACAAAAGGAGGCAGTTCGCCAGCAGATTATGGAGTCTTGGGTTACATCCGTTCGAACGATGGCTGAGGAAGGAGGATGGCTAATAGATCACAAGGAGGTAAATGGCTCCGTCTCCGTCTCCGTCTCCGTCTCCGTCTCCGTCTCTCTTTCTCTCTCTCTCTCTCTCTCTCTCTCTCTCTCTCTCTCTCTCTCTCTCTCTCTCTCTCTCTCTCTCTCT